CCCGGCTACAATTTGTCATCTTAATTGAATTGGAAGAGCTATAATATGTGTACAAATCTTAAAAAAAATTAGATAACATAAATTTCAAGAATTTTTTCTTCTCACGTGATTTATCCTTTTATTTTACCTTTTTTTTTCTTTAAGATTAATTTTTATTTATGTGTATGTGTGTGAGTCTGTGTGCTACCAGTAAGCCCATTTGTCTGAGGTTGCCCTTGGAGGCCAGAAGAGGAAGTCAGATTTCCTGGAGCTTTCCTACATGGGTGCTGGAAACTGAACTTAGGTCTTCTGAAAGAGAGCAAGCCCTCTTTAAGTGCTGACTCATCTCTCCAACCCATTTTTGATTTTTTGTGGCATGGTCTTGCTCTGTAGCTCAGGCCAGCATGGAACTTGCTGTGTAGTTCAGGTTGGCCTCAAAAACAGTCCTCCTGCCTTAGCCCTTAACCTTCTGAGTGCTAAGTTTATTAGCATATAACACCATGCCTGGCTTTTTCTGTTTCCTTAATGAAGAACAAAAATTTCTCATTGACGAACTCAACTACCATCACATTTTTGCTTTTGACATCATATTTAAGAATCTTTGTATCATCTAAGGTAACAAAGATTTTTTTTCTCTTTTATTCTCTGTTTAATAGATGTATCAGAATATAGCCTGTGGACTGACTCCTAATAGTGTTTTTTGTAAATAAATGTGTTTTTGTAAATAAGGTTTTGTTGGAAAATAGTCTCACCCATGCATTATATTGTTTTTGCCCACTGTCCTTCTATAATAAATGTTGCTTATTTTTATTCTGGGTATTTTATAGCCCAGAAAACTTAGAATACTTGATGGCCCCTTTAAAAAGATGTTAGCCATGGTCTAGAAGAGTTATAGTTTTAGCTCTTAAAATTCTAGCATCCAGTTTGAATTAACTTTTGTGTCTGATGTTAGTCAAAAGTCTCAAAGAGTTTTGCGGGAGGGTGTATGGATTTACTGTCCCAGCATCATTTGTTGGAAAGACTGTCCTGTATGTAATGAGCCATTTTATTCATAATGTCTTTATTTCCTTGTCTTTGGTTTACAATAGTTGGATGATTAGGTGAAGATATCTTTGGTCTATTCTACTTTGGTTATCAAATTTCTTTGATGGATGATTTCCGTGAGATTTAGAACATTTTTAGCAACTATTCTAATATTTTTTTTCTCTCCTTTTGGGACTCATGTTTGTTCCAATGCTTTGTGTTTAAAAATTTCCACTGTTTTCATTTTTCTTCAGTATGTTTTCTTTGTTCTTCAAATTGGATAGTAAAAAATTTAACTCTCTCTCCCTTAGTTGAAGACAAGGCTTTACTATGCAGCCTACTATGATCCTGTTGCCTGGGGATCCTCTTGTCTTAGCCTCCTTAGCGCTGATGCATCACAATTCCTGGCCTCTTTGTTTTGACTTCAAACCTTTGTTCTTATTGTACTCATTCTGTTCTTTAATCTAGCTAGGACATTTTTCATTTTGATTAGTGTACTCTTCAACTTCCCTATTTAAAAAATAGTTTGCATTTCTTTTGTTGATATCCTCTGTTGATTTAGTCATGTTATATGGTTGTGTGTGTGTGTGTGTGTGTGTGTGTGTGTGTGTGTATGTGTGTTTACTTAGCACACAGACATTGTTGTTTATTTTAGTATCTTAAATAGCTTCCTTTAATTCCTTGAGTGTATTTATGGTGACTGTTTTAACGTCTTTGCTAAATCCAAGAGCTGAGTTGTTCTTACTCAGATATAACTGACTTTTACTACCTTTTTTTTCTTTTGGTTAGTAGGGAGTCTTAGTTTGTTGTTTCTTTGCAGTTGGTTGTAATTATTTCTTTGAACTGGACATTTTATATAGTCTTTTAATTCTTCATTCTGATTTTAGTCATTTTCTCCTGACATTGTATTATATAGCATCTTGTGTGCATTTCACCTGCAGAATTTTAATCTGTTTATATGCTACTGTTGATGAGACTGTCCAGTTTTTTAAAAAATTTCCATTTTTATGGTTTAGCTTGACTTTCAAGATTTCACCACTGATTGCAGTCTAGTACTCAGCAAATGATTGACTGTAGGTTATCCTTAACAGCTTGTGTTCAGAAGTCTTTTATCCTCTCCTGATGAATGATGTGTACTTTGGGGAGCACATTCAAAACAAGTGTGTTTACATATTCACTTTATTTTCTGTTGTATTGTCTTATGTCTCCCTGCATGTGTACTCTACTGCTGAGCTCTGTTTCCCTAGCTTAGCATTTCTTCATCACTCTTAGGTCTCCAGTTTTCACTCTTCCATACTTACAGGCTCTGAATTTTTAGTGACCTCGAATTCTTTTGGGTCAGCCAGGGCTATTTGGAAGATAATAGTCCCTTTCCTTAGGATTTCAGGAGAATTGATCAAGTCTGTGTCCCTCCCATTTTAAAATCATCCTATTAAATTTGTAGCCAATCTTCAGGTTTACAGTATTCTCCAGTGATATAGCAATTTTAGGTTAAGAAATCTGTAGGTGTCAGTGCTTTCTACCTGAAAGCCTTTGGCTTTTCTGTTCTGTGCTCCAAATCAGAATCATTCCCTTTTGGTAGAGAAGCTGCTTGTTTTTTTGTAGTCAGTGTCAGTTTGATGGATTGTCCCATACCTGTGGAGCTGAGCAGGAAATGGCAGCAGTTTTTTGATCTTAACAAGAAGTTATTATCTTGGGGCTGGAGAAGTGGCTCAGTGGTTAGTATCTGTCATGAATAAACACATTGTTTTTTTCCCCCTCCCCTTTAGTTGATATAAGAGCACAAAAATGATGGTTTTAAAGACTTGATCCAATTTTATAATTGTTTTCTGTTGTCAGATTTTTATACTTTACTGGAAAATCAAACTTTAGAACTTGGATTTTAAAACCTAGAAGCATTATTTTTCAAAAGTCATATGGTCTTTGTCTAATTCATGTTTTGTGGAGATAGAGAACAAATAAAAATTCAATTCAATCCCTTGGTTTCTATGGTGGACTATACTTTGATCTTTGTAAAGATAGATTTATTAGCTCATATTAATTGAAAGGTTTGGTGAATTTTATAGAGTAAATTTATTGTTTCTGTAGAGCAAGTCCTTTGTAGTTGACAGAGCACCTTCTTAGCGTGTTCCTCATTTGATAATAGTTTTATGAAATAGGCTTCGTCAGTTTGATCCTTTTTATGTGTAAATAGGACATAAATTCTCAGGCTAGGGACTTACCTGTGTGTGGCAGGAATGGTACTTAAACTCGTTTCTTCAGGTTTCCTTTTGTTCTTTATGGTCTGTATAACTGCTTCCCTACCATATATATTTGCAAACTGATGATCTTAGTATATTTACATTTTTGTGGGTAGTTTTTGAAGTTAGAATAATTCATGGCAATTTCCCCAAAATTTTACCAGAAGGTGAAATTCTTTCAGTTAATAATCCCCTTATTAAACACGGAATCCCTATTTGCTCTGGGTAGTTACTTAGTTAATTAGTAAGAATCGCAGAATAAGATGTCCCATGGCAGCTTCCCCTGCCAGCTTCCTTTTTTTTTCTTACTCCATAGATGCAGATTCTGCCCAAGAAGCCCCTGCATTGCAGAGGGACTGGAGATCTGTATGATCTGTTTATTTCGCAGTTGACAAGGGTAAGGGGGCTTTTCTGGGGGAGGTGCTTGGGTGCCCTGAATTAGTGGTATGTAGTTTAGCCAACATTTATTTGGGATTTCTTGAACTTAGCTTTAAACAACAACAAAAAGAAGCCCTTTTATAAACTCGGTTTGTCCTTTATCAGTTAAGTGTCAGGTTGTTACAATAAAAAGCAGTTACTATAAATGGTGATTTTAAAATGTCCTGTTCTGGCCAGGCATGGTGGTGCATGCCTTTAATCCCACCACTTGGGAGGCAGAGGCAGGTGGATCTCTGTGAGTTCAAGGCCAGCCTGGTCTACATAGTGAGTTCCAGGACAGCTGGGGCTACAGGGAGACCCTGTCTCAAAAAGACCAAAAAAAAAAAAAAAAAACCAAAACAAACAAACAAAAAAAAACCAAAGTCCTGTTCTGGGGTTGGGGATTTAGCTCAGAGGGTGCTTGCCTAGCAAGTGCAAGGCCCTGGGTTCGGTCCTCAGCTCTGAAAAAAATAAAAAAAGACAAAAAGTCCTGTTCAGAACAAGTTAGGCAAGCATAATATTGATGCTTCTAAAATTCTAAATGTAGGACCATTAAGTATATAAATAATATTAAATATACAATTAAAAATTTATAATAATGAAAATTTTTGCATAGTGTGTACAAACAGCCCGCCATAGTTATTAATCTGCTTTGTTTCTTTTGCATAAATTTGTCAATGTGTAGAGTAAAAAGGGGACTGTGGATATGCCATCAATGTTTTGGGTGGGTACGTGTCTTTTCCTTGGTACTAGAAATAAATTCATCCTTTAATTCTTTTGTTACCCTGGATGCCAATGAAATTTGAGTTGTTATCTTTAGGCTGGCTCATATCTGATCATTAGGGTAAGTGTAAGAGTACAGTTGGTGAATCCAAGGTGAAGTTCTATAGGTTGTACTTGGCATGTTTATAGAATAAGTGCCAGAAATGGTGGTATGAATAGAATAGAGTTAAAACACACACAAAAGAGTTTAATGCTCTTTGAAGCCAACAGCACTGGCTAGGTAATCCTACCCTTGGTGAGGAGTTGAGAAGTCAGTGTTGGTGCTGGGCTGATGGACTTATTTTTATTTGGGAGGATATTTTACACCTGACAATAAAATAGCTGTTTATGTGAAGTACATTTTGGTAATTTAAATAGATACTTTTAGTTTTTAGTACTACTCAATTTTAAATCGGCCTCTTTCAAAATTTAATTTGTAATTCAGCAGTAAAATGCTATGTTTGTTGTCATTATCATTGTTAATAAATATTCCACTTTCTAGTGCCAACACAACTGGAAAAGTATTTTTATTCTTAAACATTTTAAATGATTATTTTATTTTTTTCTGTTTTCTTTAAGCCATAAGGATGAGTTTACCATTATTCCTGTACTGGTTGGAGCTCTGAGTGAGTCAAAAGAACAGGAATTCGGAAAACTCTTCAGTAAATATCTAGCGGATCCTAGTAATCTCTTTGTGGTTTCTTCTGATTTCTGCCATTGGGGTAAGTTCTAGATTTTAACATATGATAGATATTGTATTCTTGTGGCTAAAGGTATCTTTTCAACCCAAGCTCTGATTTTCAATTCTTTATCACTCTCTTTGGGAAGTTTTACTTATAGCAACAATGTTTAAAAGTGAGTAAAAAAGCTTTTTGGTCTTTTAAGAAGGATCGGATTACAATAGTGGATTATAGGTACATTTCCAAAGGCGACTGGTATAATTGGATTCACACTGTGAGGGCATCCTTGCTTTTAGACACCTTAGCGAGAGTTAAAACCTTCTAATGCCATATCCATGGAAGTATATATGGTAGATTCTCTGAAGTTCATTTTGGTGGATAAAACAAATATTCCTTAGAATTAGAATGTTAGAATAGCACTGAGCTATACTGGTCTTTCCTGATTTCCTTTTTTTTTTTGTCTTTTTGAGACAGGGTCTCCCTGTAGCCCAACTGTCCTGGAACTCACTATGTAGACCAGGCTGGCCTTGAACTCACAGAAATCCACCTGCCTCTGCCTCCCGAGTGCTGGGATTAAACGGATTTCCTTTTTTTTAAAATTAGTCTCTCCTTTTCCTTTTGGTGATAATTTTTTGCCCACAATGGCAATCAGTTTAGGAGTTGCTCTCTAAATATTAAAATATGTGGCCTGTTAGCACTGTGGTCTTCAGTGTTAATACTTTATAAGAGTAAGGATTTCTGGGGTTGGAGAGATGGCTCAGCAGTTAAGAGCACTGACTGGTCTTGCAGAGGACTGGGTTCGATTCCCAGCACCCACATGGCGGCTATGAACCATCCTTAACTCCAGTTCCAGGGGTACCTGAAGCCCTCTTCTGACCTCCATGGCATTGCACGACATGGGTGCACTCACATACATGCAGACAGTACACTCATACACATAAAAATAATAAATAAATATTTTTAAAAAGTAAGGATTTCATAAGTGAGTTGTGATTATTGTAAATGAAAATGAGTATGGATACTTTGCTTTCATTTAATCTCTAGCTCTCCCAGATTACTACTAAGCTTCATTCCTCTTAAGACATCTCTTTGACCCATGATCTGTTCATTCATCAGCTTTTGCTCTTATTATAAGAAAACATAAGACTATATTTTTTAAGATAAAGTGATCAAAGGCCAGAAAACATCTCCAGTGAGATATACAGAGTCCTGGCTTTTTGATTGCCAGAATTGATTCAGTATTCATTTGACTTGGCTAGGTCTTCTTGCACATTCTTTTCTGGATAGATTTCTTAAAGTTGAGCTCTCAGTTCAGTTATCTTTCATGGGATAGATAGGTTTTGTGTAAGGCATTGATTCTCTATAAGGTATGATTTTCCTCCTAGGGATGTTTGGAAATGTCTAGAGACCTGTTTGATTTCACTATACTAACTGGGAAGGGGTTTGAAGGATGGTGAGGCAGCTGGTATCAAGTGAGTAGAGTCCAGGGAAGCTGCTAAATAAACATCTTATAATGCTAGTTGGTATTATACTTCCTGGCAGAAATCTTTTTTTTTTTTTAAAGTGGACATAACTATATTACTTAGATTTGAATGCTCAGGTAGATGCTTATAAAGGAATTCCTGTCTTAGGAATTTAGAAATTTAGTATAAGTTGATCTTAAAAAAGTAGAGGGTATCATTACTGAAAAGGGGCTCCCTTTATCTTAGTATTGTGAATTTGTGTCAGCAGCAAAACATGTTCCTATGTTTTAGAAATAAATTTTGTTTGAGATAGGCTTTCACTGTATAGCCCAGGCTGGTCTCAACCTTACAATCTCCCTATATCTGTCGCCCAAGTGCTGGGATCACAGGCATTTGCCATCACATCTGGTTAGTAGACACTAATATTGTCCTTTTATGTAAGGTCATCCCTTTTACCTAATAAAGAGTTCTTAGTTCAGACAAACCCTACTCCAGTATATATAAAACCATAGTTGTTGAGAGAAAGAGAAATAAAATTTCTTTTAAATTCTACCAAGATTCTCAGAAATTAG